TCGTCTCCTCTGCAGGTCTCTGGCTCGCCGCTCAGTATTTAAGGTGGAGCAGCGGCGGACGAAGCTTCTGATGTTTTTTATTTCTCACAGAGGAACTTTGGAGGAAACTCCGCCTTAAATATCTGCGGTCAGAGAGCGGCGCAAACGAAGAGCGTCACTCTGTCGCGTTTTCCGGCCCCAGACCTGATGAGGGTGAAGCCACTTCTCTGTTGTGGAGTTTTTAGATTCATCAGTCAGTTGTTAGAGGATCGTTAAGTTGTTTTTCATTAGTTGTTAGTAATTAAGGAGACAGAACACCCATATTTGGAACTGATTGATTTGCACTAAACATGAAAATCCTGGTGTCAAAGTTTAGAAAACTTCAATTAACTCAATGAAGATGTTTGTTACTTTCATTTTTTATAGCTGTTTAATCAGAAGAAACTTCTCGCCATTCATTTTTCAGCACTGATTGGCTGTTACTCAGTAGTGATGGTGTTTTTAAATTATTTTACCAGGAATGGGTTTTTAAAAAGAAAAAAAAAAACTATGCCAGTAATCAGAAATGCTGAATCTTGGTGCTGATATCGTCCATAACTGGCGACTGCGTCTGTTTTTCATAGATTAGACCTGATTTAGTTCACAGCCCTTCATGCTGAGGGTAAATAAAAATGTGTTTCCTCTTAACCATCATTTAGCTACCAACAGATGATCAGACACGACTCGGTTTTATGATGTAAGATGATGCAAAAACAAGATTCACATGTAAACAAACGTTACAGATGAACATCCCTGTTTCATACCTTTATGTTACTGTGTTAGTTTTAGTTGCTGCCCGAAGCAGGTTTCACTCTGGCATCTTTAAAACCATTTTCAGGATCTATTATCAGGATTTATTATTATTATTTCTCTTGGTTCTGATATTATATTCTTTAATTTTTAATTTATTTTAAAATGTGATCTTACAAGTCGCTGTTCCAAACATTGCATTTTTTTAGTTTCTGTTGCATTTTGTCCTACAAACTACTACAAGCTTTAAATATTAAGTTTACTTTTTCCGAAAGTTCTCAGAGTTTAAATAACTCAAGTGCAGCGGCAGAGCGCGACCCTTTGCGGCAGAGCGCGACCCTTTGCGGCAGAGTGAGGCCTCCCGTACAGACGATCTTCGGCGCCGTGCTGACGTGCGTCGGTGCGTCACGTGACCTGAGGAATGCGAACAATGCAGCGAAGAGTCCAACTCGGAGCTGATTTTCTGATCCGGACAGAAAATGGAGGCTCAGTTCGTCACATTCTGCTTCGTTCTTCTGCTCTGAAGGATCAGAACCGAACTTTTAACCGGATTTAACCTCCGAACTGAGTTCTTCTGCCACATGGTGAGTTCTGGTACTTTCTGGAGTTTGGCTTTGAACTTATTTCCACTTTTTACTTGTTGCGAAGGAAAAAGTTCGGTTGTGTTGAAATGACGGAACCAGAAAACGAGCTCAGTGTTCCGTGTCGGGGCTGGAGTCCGGTTCTGCTGCTCAGCTCCGTGTTTCTGCTTCAGCCCAGAGGCCTCGGAGGCTTTAAACTGGTTCTGGAGCACAGAACCCCCCCCCCAGTCCCGGTTCTGTCTCGGTTCTACAGCTGTGTGGAGGCTGAACCCAGCAGAACCGTCTGTTTTATACCTGTACATACATAAATGAGCTGCTGGTGCTGCTGGAAGCTCTTTTCTGTGCAGAAACCCAGAACCTGTGAAGGCCCAAAGTCAAGCTGGTCCAGAACCAGAGCTGCACTGCTCAGATGTTTGGGTCAGGACATCCTGAAACGGTTTAAACTGAGACTCGAGGAATGTGGTCAGAACCAGCCTGAAGAAGACACAAGTACAAATACGTGCTATTAGTGTTATAAATATCAGTATTATTCATATTAGTAATAATATATTCTATGATAATAACATCATTATGTGTTGTTAATGTATGAACTCATCCTGTTAGTGTAGATATAAATGTCTTCTATGTGTCTCGGTGGATGAAGGGACAATATGTGATTGATCAAGTTCTAGATTCTGCAGAGGTCCAGATTCTTTGGTAGAACTGGTCCTGGACCGGAGGGTTCCTGCAGCGCAGTTTGGGTCAGAACATCGCATTGACCTCAACACACAGATCCGAGGTCAGAAACAGCCTGTAAAGAACCAAAATGTAGTATTTAATGTCCAGTTTTACTCTCCGCTGCCTGAATGTTTCGGCTCTTATGCAACCTTTGGTTCTGTTGGTCGGTTCTTCAGATCAGTTCAGGTTCTGGTTCTACAAACTGACCAGTTGTTGGAGTCTGTGTGGAACCAACAGATGTTTCTGTGATCACAGAGTTAAAGTGTGAAGCTTCAGTGTTTGTACGTCCCTGTGGTTCTGGACGCTGAGTCGGACCTCCAGTTTGAACTGATCTGAGTTCTGACATCTGACCTCCAAACTGGACGGTTCTACTTTTAGTAAATGGAACCACAATTAACCGGTTCAGACTTCTTCTTCTCATGTTTCCTTTTCATGACGTTTAAACGTCGTCTGTGCAGGAGAACTCTGTAGAACCAGCCCACTGCAGACCCAGCAGAACTGGGCCCAACTTAAACCAGCATCCAATGACTGCTTCATGATAACTGATCTGAGTTCGATGGTTCTGTGTCTGCGCTGGTGAAAATGTCACCGTTTCAGGAAAACTGGCAAAATAACTGGAATTATTTATTAAATACAGATTTTATGACTCGTCAAAATAAACGACGTAGTGAAATAGAATTCTCCTAAAGTTTGGATGTGATGGTTTCTGCTGATTTTCAAGCTGAACGTTTGTAACTCAGACCTCCACCTTAAC